AAATATTTAAATTTCTGTAATTGATATATTTTAGTATCCCAGATTTGTAATTTGCTTTTTAGGGCACATCTTTTTGCTGATAACCATTCTTTCTGCCTCCTTGTACATTATACTTAGTCTTTTATTCTTGCTTTCCTTCGCTATCTTCTGCAAGAGCTTTTGTAGTTTCCTTTCCACGCCTGCTATCAGCACTGTGTCATCTGTCATATTAACCTTTTAAGATTTTAGCCGCCAATAATGAATCCTGGTAGAAGTTCTAATTCTTTTAGAATTGCCTCGCTCTAGTGGTCGAATAAATTCGGCGAGAAGACACATCATTGTCTTACATCATTGTCTTACTGCTGAATTAACCTTTTATGCAGGCCTTTTAGATTCTTGAAAAAAATCTCCGTTGTTTGGCCACCTTATTTCACATACTCCTAAAATGCTGATATTTAACCTACTCATCTGTTTTATATTTTAAAACTGGCCACAGTTGTTTAACCTTCTAACATTCCATGTCCTGAATTATTTTTTGTTTGATGTGAACAGTGGCTGAATGACTGTCAGTAAACACCTGTGGCTCTCTTGTCGCTCCTTACCGACGAATGATCAGTTCCGAAGAGTTTGCCAAACAAGAGTGTTGATCATTCCTGACAAAAAAATGAAAAATTCAAGGAATATTCTTACGATAGCCACTGTAAAATAATTAAGAAAATGTTTGAATTTAATTTGTTGATGGGTTAACGAGTGAGTAGAGTGTCTTGTAAAATCGACGTGCTTTGTGTTCAGGAAATGGTAAGTTAACGCCCTACCTTGACATCAGCACGGTGTAAAAGAAAAATAGCCTCACGGGATTCGCGTTACGTATGCTCCCAGATCTGTTTAGTCTTAGGATTTCATCGGACTGGGCTTCGATAACGTTGGTACGTCTACAAATGCGCAGGAAACAAGAGACGCAGATAGTTTCTCTCTTTTTCAAATCTCTATTTTTTTTTCTCTCCCTCCCTCCCTCATATATATATATTTATATATATATATATATATTCCTGATATATATATATATACAATATAAAATCTACAAGGATACAACATATTGTAAGAATCTGGACAAAATTTATTGTGTCTAAACTAGCGATCAAGGTCGGCCTGGACTTCTGGATTGGCACGTCTATTTTCAAATTAGTGGATTATTTTCTCTTTTAATCAAAATAGTTTCAATCTAAGTCATATGTATTCTTTTTGTTTTCTCTCCATTAATGCGTTTTGTGACTATCCTTACACTTGAAATATAAAATCTACAATATATGGTGACATTGTTTCCGAATCTGGACACAAATTTATTCATTCTCAACTCTTGCGTTTGATAGAGTAAAAACTGGACTTTTTCGTTTTAGTGGTTGCTTTTTTTTCTTATTGGTTCAAATATAAAATTCATTAAAAAAAACAACCAGCAAATTTTTAGGAAATTTAATCCATTTTGTATAGGAATTTAAAATATAAATTTGTGTTCAAATAACGCATGAAACAACCTCAAAAAAAAAATTCTAAAATTTGTTATAATAAAATATTTTTCAAATATGTTTGTTGATATATAAAATCATACAAAATTACGTCTCTCTCTCTCTCTCTCTCTCTCTCTCTCTCTCTCTATATATATATATATATATATATATATATATATATATGTATGTAGGTATGTAGGTATGTATATTTGGGTAGTTATTATATTTAACTATGTTTCTCCAAAGATTCGATAAAAACCGTTCATACATGATGAAAAAATGACCCAAACGTAATAAAAACGAAGTCTTATCGTCAAAAACTTTATATTATTATTAATAAAGTAAACCAAAGTGTTGTTGATTATTAAATCGTATTTTTTCATCCTTTTTGAACCTTCAACTGTTGACCATAAATTAGTATGGGAAATTTTTATTATCATTTTGCAGTGAAAAACAGAGTGATTTAGAAATTCTTGCAAAAATCAAATAATTGTCGGATTTTAATAAAACTTTCAGGACTCATTCACAAATAAATGACATTATTAGAGAAATGTTTTCTTTTAGAAAATCTTGGAAAAATATTTTTTACATTTGTTACCCGACCACGTCACACATGCTCATACACACACGCACGCTTATTTAATTTTATAAAACTTCAAGATATTCATTTCTATAAAGCTTAATGTTTATATTAGCTATAAACATTAGACTATTGAGAATTTACATTTTCAGAGATTCAAAAATCAAATTTGAATCCATTTAAATTTGCTTTGAAATACAGAGAAGTATTTTGCTTATAGTAAATATTAAATTTAATCTATTAGCTTGAAATTAAAACTAAAATTAAAGGTCCTAGAAAGTTTTTTTTTTATTTTTAAAAATTCATTGTAAAACCTTGGGTGTGTGAGTGTGTTTGTTTGTGAGTGTGTGTGTGTGTGTGTGTGTGTTTTTGTGTGTGTGTGCAGTCTGTCTGAAATTGTTATGCAAATCACATAAACCTAAATAATTCGAATTTACTTTTTAGTAATTTTTGTCAAATTTTAAACAATTCATTGCGATTTAAGTTAACTCTAGGTAGTTTTAACATGTTTTATTAAATTTATTGAATTTATTCTAAACATTATAGTTTGGAGTTATGCAAAACTGGAAAATCTAAAGCTTTGGGGATAATGCATTGAGTCCGGAAGGTCCCTTTGTGATGAATCCCGGAGTGGCCGGTCACGGGTCCTGGATGATTAGGCCATGAAGGCGGCCATATCATTAAAGTTGCGCGTACGATGCACGACACCCGTAACCCATTAAGGTCGTTGGTACACACTGAGAAATTGAATAAATATTTCATCCTTCTGACACTCATTATCATGAACCATTTGCAGTCCGATAATTCACTCCGCCATGCTATTTGCAGTTTAGGCAATGTTCACATTGATGTCGATCTGGGAATGTCCATAATATCAAAATATGCTAGCGTTATCTACCTATTACCTACTATTCCTCTTCCCTTTCAAATATTCGTTCATTAATGCAAAACGCAACGCAAGGATAGTTTTGTTTATTCTGTTTTTATTTTATTCTTTTTTTAAGGTACTGGAGCTCAAAAAGTGTCTGTCATGCACTGCAATCGACTTCGTTGAATGGAAACAATCAGGACAAAATCAGGACAAAATGCGCCTTTTAACCTAGATGATAAACGGAAGAAATAATACAAATTTAGAAGGCGACATAGCTTGCTTTGGAGTTCCATATAAAAATAACGATAAATTATAACGATTTTTGCACGTTGTACATGAACTTTCAAAAGCCGTTGTTCATTCAGTAACTGATATAATTTAAATCTAAGAATAATTGCCAACTTTATAAAATGAAAATTCATCTGCTGGACAATGGATTAAAGCTTATGGAGGAATAGATTCTCAACCAGGAAGCGAAAAATTAGATGATGCTTTTGACAAAATCTATACAGATATATCTGTTTTATAGTCTTTGAAGAATAGATTCTCAAACGAGAGATCATAGGCACTTCTTTAAAAAAGCTGAATTCTTCAAAGATATTTTTGAACGACGAAAATTTCATAATTCCGTGCCAACGTAATATGATAGTTATAAGAATTTTTTTGAAGGTCAGTGTAATATAACAATAAACAAGTTTCCGAATTTTAGAATGAAACAGAACCGTTTTTCGTTTTAATAATTATTAAATGACACAATCTTTAAAAAGTATATTCATCTGATAGAGAAGATTTGTTCAGAAAATATCCCTTAGCTTGCAAAATGAAAAGCGATATCATATTTTCGAAATAATTTTATCACTTAAACAAAAGATTTCAAGGCCTTATTTATTTTCCAATCAAGATAAATATCCCCTGATACTTAATACTTTACTAGATTTTGAAGGCATCTAATAAGAACTGGTTAAGATTGTAGTAATTGAAGTAATAAATAATTTTTTGGACCTGGTTCCACAAATCAACGATTTGTTGTAAGAAACTAATCGAGTGGAACTTATATATCTCCCCAATGGCATACGAAAGGAATGAGGGTGGTTCGCTACACGGGTCTTGGCTGTTATGATCAGAACTAACGGAACAAACGAATGTAGGTCGTCTGAACACTTTTCATGCAAAAAGTGAAAAACTTGCATCGTTCACGTAATCAAATCCGACATCTGAACAAAATTAAATTAAAAATTAAATAAGAGAATTACTGGAAACGGGCTGATGCTTTTACAGATTCCACATTTACCACTGCAACTGATGACAGCCACTTGCTTATCTTTGGATATTTGGGATGAAGTGATGTTAGCGGAAACGCCGGAAGTTACCCAATTTGCCTGCAATAAAAAGCAAAATGCAATAAAATATGCAAACAGTACGTTACTTCATTAGTGATACCAGACTCGAAGCATTGAAAAAAACCAAAAAAAGTGGCTGCGTTTTATTCAGCATTACTGGCTGTGCCAAAATTATTATTCTTGATGCAAATATCCTCTTGAAATGATCATAATTGAATATGTATTCAAGTTGGAAGCCTCTTCTTGATGCATACGTTAAAATGATAAACACGTGAACTTAATAAACATTCAACTCAACACACACACACACAACACACACACACATCAGGGTTTAGCAGTAGAAAATGTTTCAACTTGCTACGTCATTAGCAGAGCCATTTCGAACCATTGTATGGTTTTCAGGCACTTCCCTACAGTGTCATGAGTCCTGGGACGTTATGTTCAACAAGTCACATTATTCACAAAAAATTCAACCACGTGCCCAGTCAAAACAGCTAGCACGCGAGGTGTCTTTTATTCAATTTGTAAATGTATTAGGTTACTCGGAACATAATGTCGTATTTTTATATAATGAGTTTTAAAAACTTTAATGGGGGGCACAGTGGAGTAATGGATAGCAGCTCGGATTGAGGAATTGGAGAGCCGAGTTCGAATTCCAGTTGAATCCATTATATATACTTCCGTGCTAATAACCTTGGGAAAGGCATAAACCGTCTTCATTTCCCCTCTAGCTACGGGTAAATAGCAGGACAGCCGGGTTCTATAATCTTGGATAGCAACTGCAGAAATGAATGGCAACCTATTGCGGGAAAAAATATGCCTCGTCAGTCATATATCGAAAGATACATGATTGTCTAAGCATGTATCTCGCATATCATATAACTGAGTGACGGAATACATTTCTTAGTCAAAAGAATTCTTTCAATTCTTTGGCGTTTTCTCTTCTATCTGAATTTCTGAGTTATCATTATTTTCATTATTTACATACGGACTATTTTCCTTATCGTTTTTATCTTATCACAACAATTAGTCTGTAGATTACAGCGTTAGTTAGCAAAAATGATAATATTGATTGAGTGTTCAAACCCTGGGTCAGGCAGTGTGCACTTGGACTCAGTGGAGACAGGACGAATAACTGAGCAGTACTAATCTAGAAGTAGACAAGATATGCCAAGACATGTAAATTAAATAATGTGTTCATTTTGAAATTACTCTGAAGCTTATCCTAATCGGAAAGCACCCGATGAAGGCCTGGGGGCCCAACGGCCGAAACGTTGTGATAATTATGACAATAAAGATGTGCATTTAACTAATGTAAATAGTTTTAACTTTCTTATTAGCAAAACCTTGATGCACGAGGAAAAGTTCAGGTCAGCTTTGATATAATTTATTAAAACTGTACAATAAAAGATTTGTATTAAAAAAGGGGGAAATACTGTTTTATGATCCAGTTAATAAGTATATAACCTATGAATCTAAATCATTTACCTTTTCACTGATAATAAACTCTGTGTGTCTCAGATCGATCGTAAAGTTTTGCTTAGAAAGACACATTTTTTTTCCGTGGGGAAATGGTTCATACGTAGTGAATTTTTTATCATTGAGGTCCAGAACCATTTCCTGTAAAGACAAACAAAGCAAACAGTCATCAGAATGGACATAGTAATGGAATTACATATAACTATGAGAAAACTCAAACAGAATTGTCTAGATGCTTCAAACCATTCTTTTTGCAATTGTATTTGTAAAACCAACGCTTCAGCCAATCAACAAACCTAGTTTACCAGGTGAATGAGTTGAACTAGTATGGATTTAAAGTATTATTTAATTTGCTTAGCTCACAAAATTGATTACTGTTGTTTTGGCCTAGGGAAAAAGCATGGCTTCAAAAGTTATAAAAATTTTCAAAATTAATGTTACTTCTCGTTATGTGTTTACGTAAATTTTCATCTTCTACAGTTCACGGGCATTTTTATAAATTTATGACTAAAAAGTTGTTTTCATATTTATTTCTTTATAATATACTAAATAATAAATATTGCATTGTAGTTCACATATTTCTATAATCATATAAATCAATAAATAAATTGTTTTTAATATTAATTGTGAATGAAATATGTATAATTTCTGTTTCATACGTTTGGATTTTATCAAAACTCTATAAATAGCATTTAAAACAATTACGATGCCCGAGGGAATATACAGTAATAGCGGGTGCAAGAGAAAAACCGTCCTTTTGAAATACCTGCTTTTTTAATTGTTTTTATCAGGTGTGATTATTAAACTTTGCCAATCCCGTTGATTGATAATTTTAACTTGGAATTTTTATCTTGGCATCCATTCAGGATCGAACTCACAAACTAGCAGTAATAAGACAATCAAACTAACCTTGCTGGCCACACTTTTGAAAGGATTAAAATGAAAACTTGGATATGTAAACCTCACGTAATTAGGAAATCATTTGGAAGCGGTAATGAGATCATTTACTGACGAGTTCCTTATTGTTTTTAACTTGGAAGTTGTTTTACCTCTGGCAGGAATCGCACTTTGTTATAACGCCTTCTTCCATTCTCTCCGAAACTAAGGCAGGATGTTGTATTACTTATCAAAGGCACTTCGAAATAAGTTGGTTTCCTCAGTGTGATGTATTCTTTCGGAAAATCAGTCGACATTCCCTCACAGAAAACAGACACGTTTTGGCCATTCAAAGTTCTTGGGGAAATATTGATTTCCGTGTCCGTTCTGATGAAAGAGCATTTCTTTATTTTGGCGCAGGTATAAGGAACTAAAAAAAGAGATTGAAAAAATTAAAGAAACAATAACGTTGGGGCAGGCAGTGAGACAATAGAATATGGATTATAAAATTTGGCCTACATATCTGAGATATATAAAGAGTATAAAGTTCTTTCAGAGAGAGAGAGAGAGAGAGAGAGAGAGAGAGAGCATATTGCGTTCGGTCGATTTTTGAAAAGCATATTACGTAGGTCTGTACAACAAATAGCTGGAGAAGCCAGATTTTTATATTTTCCAACTGCGTTTTCAGGTGGATATCCAAATTCGATTTCAGGTGCGCTTTCACTGGGTAAACATTTATACGTCGCCATAGATTCAACGTTAGTGTCTAAGAAATCCATATTTGCATATTTCACAAAATCCGGTTTAGTGCAATTTCGATTGCGATCTGTGGAATGACAAAGAATAGAATTAGAACAGAAGAAAGTGTCGTGTCATCATTCTACGTATTCCTTATAATGTTTTCACAGCTTTTAAGTCAATATAACTCTTATATTTTTAACTAAAATATTTAGCCAGTAGAAGACCCAAGAACCTCTCAAGGTAGGTTACTGAATGTGGTTATTGCACGGTTTTAAGGGATATCATTGCGGATTATGAGGATATGTAGTACAGATAACGGTGGACTTTAAACTTGAAGAAGTTACGATTGTAGTGATCGGGTAAATATCTTCTAGGAACTCTTATTCGTAAAGTAAGAGTTCTTGGGAAAATCTATCTGGGTAGAGCTTCTTTCTCAGCAATGGAATAGGAAGGGAATAAGGATTATTAAACAATATATACGAGGTATGGCTAGTCTGTAAATATGTGAACAGTTGGAACTAAATAATGTATCTCGTTTTGATATTTACCATCGAAATATTGAGAGAAAGTTAATGTTGTGCGTGTGGTGGAATGTTCTGGTTATTGTTTCAGTATTCTTAAAACGCAATGAAATATAAAATACACATTTATAAGTCCAGTAGTTACAATATCTCCGTAAAAGTTTGGTCGAATAGGTCACGGCGTTCGTCAATAGACAATGTTGTTCTCTATGACAACGCAAGAAAAACGTCATTTAAGAAAGATTGTACAAATACTCTTATTTTTTTTAATACTCGTATACAGTTTTAAATATAACTTGCAAAAGGCAGGCATAGAGGCTGTCTTTTCTTAAATTGCACTCAGCTCTAAATGATGTAAGAAGAAGAAAGAAAAAATCAAATTATAATAAATGTTATATTTTAATAAATCATAGAACGAGATAATTTAATATTTCATTATTACGTACTCGGATTCAATATATAAAGGTCCCATCCAGCATAATTTGGGTAGATTTCATATTCTGGAAAGTTTGCACTTGAGAGATAGCAGTAGTGTTCTCCACAAGGTAAGCACTTCGGTTTAGTTTCAAATGAACGGCAAAGAGGATTTTTTCGGCATATTTCTCGGCATTCGGCGATACTCGTGGTTTCCATTCGGCCTAAGTTGTCAAAGCCATGAATTAATGACTGTCTCAAGACAATAAATTCCTCACTTGCTGAAAAATTAAATAAGAAAATATGCATTTTTGAGTTAATTTAATTATTGTTGGCTAATTCGGATTGTTCTGCTCATGCGTAGTATGTTAGATAAAATCTCATTGCAATTGGATCAATTAGAATGAAAACGATTCTTTTGTTGGCACTACTTATATACATTGGTTTATTTATAAAAAGTGGGAAAATATTTTGGCAATATTTTTTCTAATTATTTCCACATTCTTAGGTTGCGACACTTGTTAGAATCGATAAATATTGATTATTTATCGATTTAGAGGGCGGGTCAAATAGATTCCTGGCGTTCACTCAGAATTAGTAGAAATAACTGTTATGCGTATGAAAACAGACTTTTTGGTGGAAGGTTAAGAAAAGATTTATTTGAATAAAGAACGAAAGGATATATTCATTTTTAATTAACGAACAAACATTTACATGAATTAATAAAAGTATGCTTCACTTTATTCTTCATTTAAGATAAATAATTATTAACACCAAATGTTTGTGTATGGGCTTCTGAAAAATAATCCCAGATTGAAAAAAGTTTTAAATTATTTCTTTTTAAAATAAAATTAAAATGTTCAACTTTTAAATTCCAGAAAATTAAAACCAATTAGTATGCAGATAATTTAGGCACGTCCACTCAATTTTCGATACCTAAGGTTTAAAATGAATTTCTGAAAAATAAAAAGCATTCTTAAAGATTTCATTTTAGCTTTAATTGAAAGCTAAGCGATTGAATTTATTATTTCCACTAAGTAAAATATTCTGGTGTATTTCAGATATAAATTATATAGATTGGAATGTCAAATATATGCTCGATTTTTTAAAATTTTCTTAAAAGCCGCCATTTTCTTAAAAGCGGCCATTTTCTTAATTTTAAGAAATTTGTAAACAAAGAAAAGTTTCGATTTTAAAATCTTCCCCAAATAAATTATATATTTCTGACACATTATTTGAGTAAAAGTAGAAAATTTAAAGTTAAATCAATCTGATTTGAAACAAACATTACTTACTTATAGCCTAAAAAATTGTATCCAAATATTTCTTAACGATGTGTCTTAATTTTCTCATGTATTTATTGACGTTATCGTTGCTATTGAGAAGTTACAAGGCGATGGCAGCTAGTATGGACGACCAGAATTGACATAATTTTACGGAATCTAAGCTAACTCATTTTTTGTTTGTTTTTAACTAATAATTTTTACATATTAACATATTTTCAGCAATTATCTAATATTTATTTTTTATTCAATATATTATTAATTAGATAATTGTTTAAACTTTTCTATTAATTAGATAATTGTTTAAAATATTTTATTAGATAATTGTTTAAAACTTTTTATTAATTAGGTAACTGTTTAAACTTTTTTATTAATTAGATAATTGGTTAATCATTTTTAATTTGATAATTGTTTAAACTTTTAATATTTTAACCTAATACTCTAAAGAATATTAGAAAGAAATTGCTGTTATGTATACTGGTGAAAAGACTTTCAGAAATATTTTGTGGCCCTAAAAAGAGCTGTATCTTGATTCGTCACCATTGTTGGGCTAATTTTTGAAATACAATTCTTGCATAACATAGTCATCGCCAACTTCGTATTTGGTCAAATGATAGTAGTCAGTTACATCATTGAGATATGACATCATATAAAATTGATTTTCATAACTATTGATGTAACCGGCGTATTCAGGGTCGATGCCATCGATTGTCCAAATATGCCTGATTGTACGTCCAATTATGTTTCCAGTGAGTATTTCTTGCGGGTCTTGTTCACACTCAGGATACTCAGAAGTCAAATAATCAACTGACATTACTTTTAGATTTTTCTGTTTTTTTTTTTGTTTTTTTTTTTGAAGGTGGTCATCCTTAGCCTTGATCCTTTCGACAATTTCTTTGTTGAGTTTGTGTTACCGCATTTTCTTCATCCCAGTTTTGTGTCTGCCGTACATCAGTGCCTGTAGTAAATATTTCTGAAACTTCTCAGAATCCAGATCATCGATGATTTTTCTTATTTGATTCCGCTTGGCCTTGATGATATCTCTTATGCTTGATACATAAGCATTAGGCGCAATCTTCTGTCTTTCACTAAATTCACCGACGATGCTTTTAACTTGCATGGTATGCTGCTTCACCGATGTTAATATTGATCTGGGAGAAGCCTCTACTGTATTGAATGATTTTTCATACTGTCTCCTTAAAACCCCAACAATCCCTTTTAAACAGGCAGATATCGTCTGGCGAAATAAGAGTTCATTTGCTGGGGAAATCATTAGGGACGCTAAAACTTTCTTTGGTAAAGTATTTCCAAAGAAATCCTTGGTGAAGCCGAAAATAGACATTGGGTTCTCCTGTGAGTACCTTCAGATTGCCAATGCCCCCCTTGACGATGGTCAATGTTAATGGATTCTCTCTGTGTTATAGTGGAACACATCTATTCTATTGTTAATACTCTCACACCTATAATAAGTAGGAGTACCAGGAGTAGTAGGAGTCGCTCAGTGAGACGCTCAGTCAGTCGATGCCGGACGTCCGTTAGTCGGATACTAAAGTATCAGCGACCACAACTAGATTTCTCTGCGTCATTACCTATTATATCAAGTTGCTAACGTTTTGTACGTCGAACCTATTTTAGGACCGACTTAGTACAAATACAAGCCTCTACTGTGAAACCACTCCATAACACTCTGGTTATTTACATTGGTATGGAAGGTACTCATCCAAGACCCTGGTAGAATCTTCCCTATGATTCCCAGCACTTGCATCTCTACGATAGCTGCTTCTTTCGTAATTATCTGCTGCAGCGTTGTAATGGTCTTATTTAATGGTCGCTGTGGAAAGTCCCAAGATAAACTGCTTGCATTGATCGAAAATGGGAAAGTAAGTTGCACCTAGATGAAAAATTACATGCAACCGATTCTCTTGGAATCTAGTGATATCGAACTATGGAACACCTTGTTGTTCAATAAATGTTTTCAATTTCAAAATAGGGCCAAATTTATCACTATATGTAAAGGAATTGAAAGCTACAAGAATTCACCATGCTAGACACTCACTCACATTTGTATTTCCCTCGTAATCCCTCAGGACCTTCCTCGCCTTTGTTGCAACTGTCTCCAAAGTATACAAATTGCAATAGAGTTCTACAATCTTCAGCTGCCACACCTTTTCCAAAAACGAAACCGTTGAATGGTTAACAGGTGCCCGGTCTGATTTCGAAAGTATGACTTTGAAACTGGCACCATCACTTATGCCAGTAGACGTTGAGCCTACTTTAGCTATATTGTTGATGCAGTCACAAATATTCTGCTTGTAGTCCATGGCAGTCCCTCTAGGAAGACGTTCCATTGACACAAGATCGGAGGCTGATGGCGTTGCCAGTACCACATCGTTCATAAGGTTGCCATCTTGTGTTGTAGTGGCAAGCATTTTTCTGCACTTTGCACAGCATGGAACGTCTTCACCTCAAAAAAGAAGCTAAGCTTCCTCACCATTCTATAAATTGTTGTGGAACTTTTTCCGAAAGAACAGTGTTCCATGGATAATGTTTTCGAAACAACTGTTAAAAGTTTAGAGTCACGAGAAGCAGGAATTCCATTTAAAAGACAGTCATAATGGAGATTCCTGTCAACGAAAGAACTGGAAATTTTCTTCTTTTTTTTTAGTTCTTTTATATTTTTTCCCCATTGATGAAATTTGTAGTTTTTTTTTTTGTATTAACAATTTCCGAAGAGTTATTGTTTTACTATATTTGGATAAAGGAATGGCAGATGTTTCACAACACGGGTCAGAAGTTTCACAAAATAGGGTTGCATTTGCGTCAGACAGTATTGTGTTTTCAGATAAAGATATTGCAGCTACAATAGACAGAAGAAAGAAGCAATGGGAGATGTGGCAGTAGCAGATTGATTAACAAAATGGACCACCTCTTCACACCTTTTTTCAAAATCAGTGAAATTAATTCCTATATGTTATTTTTTGTAAAAGTCAGAAAGTTTCCTAACTGAATATATTGTAATAGCAGGGAAACCATTTTTGGAATTCTCCAGGGTAGTCCATTCTGCAATCTTCGCAAACGATCCATATTTGTCCAAAAGTTTTTAAAAATATGGCTACACTTAATCTGCTCTCCACGGTTATCGTACTGATAAATTCTCAATATTTCTTCTGTTGTCGACAACTAAAAGTTAAAAAATTAAATTGTAACAATTAAAATATTTTGTAATCTTAATACTAACGAGTTGCTAAAACATTTAATTAACAATTATTAAATAATTAACGTTCAGTCAATTTTGCCACATTAAGCATACATTTTTAATTTTCGATTTTCTTCAATACAATAACTTTTCAAAACACCATTTTTGTGGTTTTCAATGAAAACTATTCATAATTAATTAAAATGAGAAAACTAATTTCAAATGTGAATGAAATAAAGTATTAAAATAAAAATTGTAGAAGAAAGATTTAATTTAACAAAACTAATTTTATTTTAGTCTGGGTTTCGTTTCTTAGATTCTTAATCTTTTTATTTAATAATTTACTAACTTAAACAAAAAATATGACCCAAACTAAAATAAATACCTAGAATAAAAATATTTATTAATAAATTAATTAACAAAAATTAGACTTATTTGAAATTTTGAAAGGATGTTTTGCAAACACATTAACGATGAAACAGAACTGAATATTCAAGGGAAATAATTGAAGTGCGTCTGACAACTCACGTGACCTTTTTAAGGATTATATCATGTATAGATTCCCATAGATAGAAATTAGGAACATTTTTCTCACTAAAAATTATTTTAAAAATTATTTTAAAAATTATTTTTAAAATATTCACGTTCAAACAACTGTTATGCGCTTTACAAATTTCGATTCGGAAATTTACTTACATTTAACGACATCACCAAATTGAATACTTGAAAGCAATGAAGAA